CTTTGGAGGAATAGACACAGGGTCATATGAGTATCAAGGACTAAATCTGTATACTTAGATGTGCTAAAAGATCCTATTGCTTGCAGTTTGTCATAACACAGCAGTTGTGCTTTTAATTTCTGTGTCTTTGGACTACTCTTCATTTGAAATAGAAGAGGCTCTCTAAATACCACACTAATCACAGATATTGAATATACTATTTGTTGAGCTTCAGCAGTGTATATATTGATGTGATTCTGTATGCAGCTTCTGAAATACTGTTTGTAGAGAAGGAGGAGCATAGGAAGAAATGAGGACACAGATGAATGAGACCATTAGTGAATGAGGAATGAGAACATTAGTGACACTTGTTAGATATGCTGGCTGAAGTCTGCTCAGCAATTAATCCTTCCACAATGTTTGCGTTTTGAATTTATTTTCTTCCTGCTTTCCTTTTTTTTTTCTTTTTTGACTAAAGATGAGCTATACCATTCTGAAAATGAGAGGCTTGTTTGCAGTTTTATTTCTAGACCAAGATGTAATTATATAACCTTTGGAAAATGTTGCCAAGTTAAGGAGGAACTTGAGAGCTCAGCTTGGGGATGGGAGGACTGGCCTGCATGCACCTTGTCCAGGGGTGGCCATCTTCTTTACTTCACCTTTTGTGTGTTGTATTTTTTTTCCATTCTCCATTTTTCTGCCCTGTTTCTTGTGTGTCTTTTTCCGTTTTCACCAGAAATGCATTTGGACTTGTCAAATGCATGTGGTTTGTTGCCCTGAAACGAGTTTTCCATTAACAATCTTGCTCTCTTTCATGCTCTATTAGCCATCTCATTGCATAGCCAACTTTATAAAAACATCCATGCGAGAGAATTTGGAAACATCAGTGTGAAAGAGTGCACAGTGAGAGAAGCTAGTGGAAAGAGTTGCTCATCTTCCTAATTTCCTGACTGATCTCAAGGTGTGAAGCTATTTATGAGTACAGACTACCCCTTATTCAGTCTGAAGACTGTTTTCTGGTGGTGGTGGAATGGTTATAACCACTGATGTGAAATCTGTGTTGTTTGCAATGATGTATGGATGATGCCAACACCATCTAAAGTCTTTAATAGAAGCCAAAATAATCTTTCAAGCACAAAGGATTTATCAGGGAAAAAAGTCAGATTTAAAAAGCAGAATAACATTATGCTCTATTCTGTAATCCTTGTTTTTAGTTTTTCACCGATGGAAATAAAAATGTGGAGTGTGAGGATCAGAACCACCTATGGCAGATGGTGGTATGCTTATCTTCCACGGCCTTTGGCCTCACTTCATTTGGAGCAAGTCCTGTTGTGTGTGAGCGCTGCACAGGTGGCAGTGCTGGCTGCTGGAGGGGCAGCTCTCCTGCAGCAGTAATCCTGGCATTATTGCTGTGTACAGTGAAATCCCTGTGGGCACTTAAAATGCAGTTTTGATTTAAAACAACACTGCATCTGGCTGAACATTTAAGAGCAGACCATCTAAAAGACGTAGTGTAAATGCATGCAGTGCTGATTAAATGAACTTTTTTCCGTGTTTCTGTCTACAGTCAGAAACAGCCATTTCCTTATACAAGAGGCTTGTTCCCTGGCCACGTGTGTCTGTGTACACGTACTTGCTGACCAAATTAAGCAATTATGGTTGGCTAGTTTTGGTTTATCTTTTTTATTATGTCTGTAAAACAATGAGCAGCATTTCAGCCTCATTGTTGTCATCAGCAGTACCGATCTGTTCTGTACACCTTTGCTTTCTTTTTCTTTTAATTCTTTTCTTATATCTTCACAGTAGGGATATCAGGTTCCAAACCACTGGACTGTTTCAGAATGTTCACTGAGTCTGAGTTAGTGTCCTCTCAACAAGCAACTGTTGAGTCAATGACAGCAGAATATTCAGAACATCCTGAGGTACACTGGAATAGAAAGCAAAGGTCCTTTTTCTATAATACTTCCAGAGTAGGGTTCTTGCCTGATTAATTTCTGGCAATAATGAATACAAAGGAATGAGGTTTGGTTTGTAAATTACAGCCTGGGTTGCTGTAAGTGTGTCTTCTCACAGCACGCTCTTGCAGGCAAATACAAGAAATTTGTTTATTTCTTTATTTCCAGGTACATGTTGGGGCTGTCAGCTGTGCCAGCAGTTATACAGTTTTTTGGTTTCCTGTTTCTCCCTGAAAGCCCCCGTTGGCTGATTCAGAAAGGCCAGACTCAGAGAGCAAGGAGGATTCTGTCTCAGATGCGTGGCAACCAGGCAATCGATGAGGAGTATGACAGTATCAAAAACAACATTGAAGAAGAAGAAAAAGAAGTTGGAGCAGGTATGCTGTGAATGCTTGTTGGCATCTCTGTCAATCCTTGACAAGATGAAATGAGAAGAAATTTTCATGTCATAGCCAATGGGAGCCTGATGATTTGCTGTTCTTGATAGTTTTGCTGTTTAATATACCTCATGTACTGGTAATTTCAGAGTTGAATAGATGTTTCTGTGATACTACAGTTTTAAATTTAATTCTGATATCTTAAATGAGGAAGAAGGAAAGTTCTGTAAGATTTCAAGTTATGCTAGCAAGAGTTACATGAGAATTGCACTCAAAAAATTACCCATTTTAAGAATGCACATCTTGAAGAGTGGAAATAAAATAGTTTGGTTTCTCTCTTCATAGAAAAAGATCTAAGAACCATTAAGGTCAAAAGGCATTTTGCATGGATGCGTTATCCAGAGTCTATACTGTGGCTCATCATAATTCCAGCTAAGCAGTTTTGGAAAGATTTACAAAATTATTTTTCAGTAAGGGCAGTTTCTGAAGTCTATTTCTTAGTCTGCCCAAGAGAATGCAGCATCTTAATCAAATACTTTTACACTGTTTTTGTATCCTTATGCTATAATTACTCAAAACTTTGTGTGTACGTAGACATGAATTATGAAGCAAGATTACCATTCCATTGACTGTCTTCTTGACTACTAAATAATTTTTCTTAGCTTTGTGCTGAAGTAGGATAGGAATCTTAATTATGTCTCTAAAGTGAGATTCACCTTAGTTCTTGCTTCCTCATATGTAGTTAGTATGGTACTATAACTTCTCACAGAATGTGGAAATAAAAATGCAATTTATTTGACAGCTGAGATTCTATACTGAGATCCTGTATCTGATAGTATCCAATGTCATTGCCTCCTTGAGTTTAACTTTGCAGCTTATAATAGAAGATTGGGTATCTTGAAGCAGTTACTGCATTCTAGTGAAATGATTTTCAAAATGTTCATCACTGATTTGTAGCAGGGCTGGATTTGTTTCTTCCATTATTTTTCAGGCTTTTTTTTTTTGGTTCTTTAGCAGTGGAAAGAAAACTTCTTTGAGTTGATTTGACAAAAAGCTGAAGTGGATATTCTTACAACAGCTTGGGTTTTAAGAGTCTTGTGCCAAGGTTCTCAATCCTAATTAGTCATTGGTCTCTTTGATTTCATGGAGAGCCACTGAATGTCTGGTATTAATGTTTATCTGCTTTGTAGAAATAAAAGAAGCAGGTGTTTGGCTGGTTCAGTTCCTTATTTTCAGTCATTGGGCTATATAGCACAACCTTGTTTCTCTCTTTTAAATCATTTTTTATGCTGCTGCTTTGCAGTTTATAAATCTGTTGTTGTAAGATTGTGGTAGGACTGACTCCAACTTGGTCCTTTATGCAACTGTATCTTGGACTGGCATACCAGTTATGGGGCTTCCCGAGTTTCTTGATTATTTTTTTTTTAAATTTTTTCCAAAGAAAAAATAATTGTCTTGCTGCAGTTTAGTCAAGCATGTTCCCATGGGAAAGCATGCTTACAGGGAAACTAGCATTTTCCTCTTGGAAAATCAACAGCTTCAGAGCTGCCACCAAATGGCGTAGTGAGGGTAGTTCTGAATACCTGCTTACCCACTTGTTGTAAATGCTTAGCAAATAGGCATTACATAGTCATGGTCACTTTTGGTTTTGATTGCAACTTAGTTGTAATTGCTCTTATCCCATTTATCTCATACTCCTGGTTGTTCTAAAAGCATTTGTTGTGTGTCAGCATCAAAACGTGCTTCTTTTGTTACTTTTCTGGGACTTATAGGTGGTATTTAAAAGTAATGTTGAATTATAATTATCTTCATTTCTTGAGGAGTTGTCTAGATTTTCAGTATTGAACTTGGAATGCATGGTACATCCTGTTTGTATGCGGAATTCAACGAAAGACAACTTTGCAAATCAAAAATCATCCCACTTACTTTTAGGTAGTTGTGCCATTTCCTTTTTTGGCATTTCCTTTTTTGAAGAAGAACAGATGTTCTTCTTCATTAACTGATACATAAACATCTTTGCCAGTTCTTCAGGGCATCGTTTTCTAAGTGAAAATAAGCCTGTATCTGACTCTACAAGGGAGTAACAGGGTGCAGCTGGAACATATTCTCCTAGTCCCACACTAAAATCTGCCTTTTGTAACTGTTTCATCAGCTATTCTTGTCACTGAACAAATGAATCACAGGAGAACTTCATCTGTGTTGCTTTAAACTACTTCTAAAAAGGTTTAATATTAACGTCTGTCATAAAACCAGAGAGGTTCATTGCAGTTTCCGTATGGTCATCAAGCAGCTTCTGTCTTGAAAGCAATAAAAATGCCTTGAGCAGCAACTTCTGCTTCAGAAATCTCTTGTACCAGTGTGGGGTACCTGTTGGGTGAATGATTCACACCCCTTTATCCTTTCCAATACATTCAACCAAATCACCACTGCCGAGATTGCTTAGATTTTAGCATTTTCAGATTGTGACACTTTCCTCCTTAGTGGTTATACAGATGACAGTTTTCTAGCAGCAGTGAATACGACTTTTGCATGCTGTGTTTTGTACCTCTACAGTAACCTGTGGTGCTATGAAGTCCGTGACTGTTTTCTGTGCCACAGCTCACGTTTTAAGAACAGAGGAGGAAGGCACTGCATTTGCAGTAATGTCACAAAACCAATTAGGTCAAGTCCAGCTCATCAGCATCTCTTACCACTATTGTCTCAGATGACAGGGTTGCAGTGCAAAGAGATCTGGTGATAGGAGTATCAAGGGTAGGAAGGTTATGGAAGGAGACCTTAGAAAGGAGAGAGCTCCCTGAGATTGGAGGAAACAGTAGTTTTTAAGTGGTACGTGCCGTTCCCCTTTAAGCAGGCTCTAGATTTTGCAAATTCCCTGCTGTTTGGCTCATGCAGTCTTAAGGGGAGGGAAGAGGGAGAAAACAGGTAGAAGCGGTTAGATCCAGGAAAGCATCAATGGCAGGGTTGATTCTTTCCTCCAGTTAGCTAAACATTGCTGCTGAGGTTCTGTGCTGCATGTTAGTGAAGAACTGGCAATCAGATCATAGCATTGCGTGTAAGCACTGCTACAGTGGCTTAAATATACAGGTACAGATGAAGTAACTTGTGCTACTAAATGAATTAGAGTGGGATTTGTAATATTAATTCTTGAGCAGGCACATTAGAGTGAATTTACAGTAACTTTGTGAAAGTTTTATGGACCGCCAGTGCAGCGGTAAATTCAAACCAGAAAGAAATCATGCTGCTGTTCAATAGGGAAACTGGGGGATTGATAGTTAATTTCCTAAATACTTAACAGATCTCCAGTATTCAAAGAAAAATATAGGAAAGTGTCATTTTTTTAATTATCCTTTTGGATGAAAGTACCTGCAAGTTGCAAAGCTTTTCCACATGCTCCTCTTATACCTGTATTGAGCTATGATGTGCCAGGATACCCCATGTTTCACACAAAGTCAGTGGTGGAGAGTATTGTACTAACACAATGTCTGGAAAATACATATAATTTGCATTAAGATTAGACATTTATATCTGTGTAAATAAAGTATGTATAGGCGTGGATCATAATTACACCAGGAGAGCAGTGTAATCTCCCCCAGTCCCATTTATTCTACACTTTTCTGACCTCTGAATTACTTTTGAGACTCTTGAACCTCTCCGCTATGACATGGGATAGACATTTTATAAGATGCTTCTATGCACATGTGTCAATTTCTGACACATATGTAGATGTTTTTATTTGCACGTTATGCTTTGTAATTCTGGCCATGTAAAAAGTGTGCTTGACTTAGCAGTGTGTGGAACCATGCTGCTTCTGTTGAAGTACGCTGAGTGATTTAGAAAATGTATAATTGCACTGTAGGATAATTAAACCTACCCTTTTGTGCCTTCCAGAACGTTTTGTAATGGCTGTTGCTTCTGGATGAGGTATTTTCTGATGTTTCCAGTAAAAAAAAAAAAAAAAAAAAAGTTATAGATTTAGAATTTTCTTTGAGAACAGTGTATCCATACTATTCTTTAAATCCTGTAAGCTTCACTCACTTTCATCTTCACTCGCTTTCCTTCTTTGCTGAATTTACTATCTGATCTGTGAGTCAGTCTACTCTTTCAGGTTTTGTATTTCCCTGTATTTCTCCTGCAGGAGATGAATGTGTTATGATTTAAAAGAAAGTTTTAAGCTTAAAAGATAGTTTTCAGCTTATAACTTTATCAATTAACTGTCAGTTCAAATAGGATATTGTCAGGGAAGGTAGCCTTCCCGGCTACAGTATATTTATATTTCTTGCAACTTTTCTGCTTAAGAAATATTTTAACTTGTCAGTGTTTCTGCCTATGGCTTTGGCTGCAGCCATTTGACATACATCTACCTAGGGAGATGCTGGAAGCTTTCAGTACTTTCATTATTAATCATAATACTACCCTTGCTTCTGGGAGTCCTTTTTATCCTGTGCAATTGCCTGACATGCCTGAAATTCAAAAAGATACAGACATGCTTATTATTGGACATCAGCTAGAATTTTATTTAATGAAAGTTGGTAGTACTGTTATGCTGTAGAAGGACTGTGCAAAGATCTGAACCATTTCAGTTGTAGGCGCTCTAATCCTTGTTTGGAATGAATCCCTCTTTCATGAGATTGAGTGGCTGCTGTTACCTGTAACCAAGAAACTGGATTAAAATCTTTCAGGCAAAAGAAAAGAGATGCACTAAAGATTTTGTCCAAGAAAACCCCAAATTCCATGATTGCAAGCCTGAAATTCTTATTTGTGACAATACCAACGTGAGGGACTTTGCAAAACCAAGTCAGTTTTGCTTTTGGTTTTGTGAGAGAGTACAGCCAACACATGAGGTATCTGAAGAAATGTCATTGTTCCATTCACATATTTTAACTATTTGAGCTGTAGAATTATTTCCTGTCTCTTAAGAACAATTATTCTTCCTGTGCAGTGACATGTCTTCACTGGAATTTATTTTGAATTGAAGTCATGAAAAAAGAACACCTCTGGTT